ACAGGATCTATGTGACCTCGCCGTCTTGCACGATATGGCCGGGCTACTTTCCATGTCGGGATGTCCACAACCGTGCAGCGCTTTGTACTGGGACCAGCCAGGGCTTTGCCAGTAACGCAGCCAAAGCTTTGGTAAGGAGAGGGGGCGCAGAGTTAACACAGACACACAGATTCGTATATTCTTGAATAACTGGAAGACAAGCCAGCAGGTGCTGGTTGGTGCAATGCTGTTTTTATTTTAAAGTGGAATAAACTGAAGGAAGCCAAATAAACTGACTTTAATAGTATGCTATTTCGCACCAAATTATCGCCGGCTCACCATATTCTGCAATCGACGGCACACGCCTCTGCTTATCATGACTTAGATGACACATAAAGTCGTTTGTTACGGGCTCATGTCGGATGAGCAAGCCGCATGTTTAACGGGCAATGGACGGGTTGGTGTATGCTGCTATGGGTAGTGGGCGGGCCGATTGAGAGATTTCTTACCCACGAAGGGCTTTGCCGTATGCTAGCGGCAGGGTAATTATAAAACATATGTATTTGCACATACTGGGGCGCAGTCAGAGCCTTGGTGAGGGGGAGTGGGGCAAGAGGTTGGCAAACAGAAGGTTGGCCTTTTGCTGAAAGACCCAAAATAAAATCACTGGTATATCCTGCTTGATTTAGAGGGGTACGGTTGTAAACATGTTATCTTTATGTGTACCCTCTGAAACCTGGAGTCTTTACCTGAAACGGAAGCCAGAAACTACTCAAAGTTCAATTCTGTTTTTGTTTTGTCAATAAGCCGGACGGAAGCGAACGTGAAATAACTCCATGGAATAAGCCGCCGGCACTATTAATTGCACAATGGTGGAGTGGATTTTTTTCTGAACCGATAAAGCTCAGAGGCTTTGACAGTTTTACATCGGTTTACAGCGATCTTGAGGTCCCCGTGAACGTACATTGTGTAACGCAAAGTGGTCAAAAATATGGAGAACATGGCAAACCCATGTTCGTCGGGAAAATTTAACCTAAATTAGGATCGATCAATGAGAAACATTGCATGACGTAGTTTTGACCATTAGCATCCACATGTCTTTGGAACAAATAACCAGACAGCCGGCGTTACAGCTGCCATAAGGTAAGCAGCGTCGGCATTACGGCTAACACTGAGCGGCGGCCAACGGACGGTGACGGGCGAAAAATGCAATGCATCTGCAATAAGTGCTTGTGGATGCTTTAAGCCATCATTTTTTTTACGTTTAGGAGGCAGCCCAAGCGTAAGTTTTTTTTGTTCGATTTTTAGATGGATTATTGTAATTCTCGTGCGGTGTTACTGTGAACACCCGAGTCTAATCTTGGTGCGCCACAAATTTATTTCCTAAAACTACTTTCGGAAACATAATTTTGGTCGTTCTCACGCACACGGCACGTGCTGCCTGGTATTTATCTCCTGCAGTGGCCAACGCCGTTTGGTTTTACGGAAACTGGAACTCCGGCCTGTTCGTGTTCGTGTTCCTGAGACTGTACGCGCGTAGGCTCATTTTTTCTTAATTGCCTTTCAGATCGATTCTACGAAAGAAAGAACATTTCCAGGCAAACTTAGGTAGGCCTTTCTAATTTTGACCTGATTTCGAGTCACCCTTTTGAACACTAATAAGACTCCTTACCTTTTTTGCGGGCAAGGACTTCCGTGCGATAACACTAGGGTTCCCGGCCAGGGGCTGAAGGGCCGTTCCGTCCAGCGCGGGGTGCCTACCGGCTGTCATTCCAGCGACACGGGGGCGGGGTCCCTGGTCGAACCGCAGGCCCCAGAAGTTACATCATGCATTGGTCCCCTCCCTGACGTGGGAAGCCCTCTAATCCGGACAGTTAGCCCCAGATCCTCGCAGTAGCCGTTTCAAGGCTCAAATCGACAGGGAGCCAGCTGTCCGATGTTGACGGCCTCTGAAATAACCAGAACAGAGTCCCGCATTGTCCCAGGGGGTTCTCATTTGGTTAAGAGATTCTCTTACGGACCTTTGTGGCAATGGCCCTGCGGACAGGGATTCTTAATATGAGCTACAGCCAGCCCGGCAGATCCTTCAGACCCTTCAGCCTTCCAATCGGGGCCTTGATCGTCGATCCTGGTGGGCTATGGGACCCTCTTCTGGCCCCCTCGAACACTGACCCTGGCGGACTCAGGGCCCTTTGCCAACACAGGGCCCCTTGTTGGTACCGCGGGCCCCTGGCTGACACAGGAGCTCCTCATTGACTTAGGGCCCTGACCAATGTAAATCGCGTGCGCGTTCTTTCCCCTGCTTTGGGAAATGAGCTCTCAGGCGCAGATCGATACGATGTGGAAGGTGCCTGACTGACATAAATGCCCTCGTCGTCTCAAAGGGCCCTAATCGGCGCAGAGAGCCCTCTGACTTGCTTTGAGGGCCCGGCCCGCAGGGCCAAGCCTACTAATGCAAACCTGAACCAACCCTTCGGGCCCTCAAATTTGACCCATAATTGCCGGTCTTGCGGGGGTCACGTGCCTCTGGGCCCCTCCCTCCGTCTGTGCCACTGGTCCCACCGCACAAATCTGGATGATCACATATCACAGATGCTCAACATGCATAAACGTGCAAGAACGGGTAAGTCAAACATTACAAACGTATTGATACGGCTTCCAAACGGGTGACCCCATTATCTTGCAACTCACTGAGTAACGCTCCCCTCCCTCCCCTCCTCGCGCGGAATAATAAAACATGCTAAGTGTATAGACTGAAGACAACAGAACATGTTTCACCTTCAACACCATTCGTTGCATTAGTATGGCCATGAGGTCATCGCTAATCCTTTGCTGAGGCATCTGCACGATCCCTCTGTTGCTTCTGTCCTGCACTTACGTCGCATACAAACTAGGCAATAACTGCATGCCTTTTTGCCCGAGATGCGATATTGACGAAATGTCAATAAACCAAAATGGAATGTTTGCTGAAAGTTTGTTTGTCGACACTTTTTTTAACTGCATGTTCACTGCGGACGTCGACTTCAGTCGACTGTTAATTGCTGAAATGCTCTTGCCGAACATCTCCTGCCGAATTGTCATTTAGACGACTGCTGATTTGTCGAAACGCTCTTTAGTCGAACCACAATCAGCCAAGTAGCCCAAGGTTCATGCGCTGAAATGTGTGCTATAAGTTGTAGGTAGAGTATTTTTAATGGGCAATGGTGGCACTTTCATTTCAGCCTGCATTTCCATGCGATATATAGTATTATAGCATACACAATGCAGAAGCGTACAGTTTTTTTAAAGATTTGATCCGAACCCTTTGAAAGAATGGATTTCAGGGATTAGAGCTCATGCTAAGCAGCGCTTGTTGTGTGAGCCCTAACCCCTACCACCCGATCGCGCAATTCCAGGTCAGCGGCAGAATTTGGTGGCGAAAGCTTAACGTGCCGCAATGCTCGGCACGGTCCGTTCTGCCCTCTGACGTCAACTGACCTTCAGCGAGACCGCTGCCGCCGGCCGCAGGCCATACCTGTCTCAATTATTTGCCTGAAATAGGCTACCTTCACATGAAGTAGATGTGAGCGGTACATTGCAGATTCAAACACATGTTCACGTGCTACCAGTCATACCAAGTTTAAAAAACAGAATTATGCATCTTCCCTGAACACTGCGTTTTCAGGTCAGAATCAAGAAAAATAAGTACAAAATTAAGAACGCGCTTAATCTCATCACCGTGAGCAAAGGTGTGGCAGTCTAATCACCTACCTTAGACCACGCTATTAAACATAAAAAACAAAAATTTCCTAACTTGGGGTAAATTCCAACCCCATCTTCTCCATACTTACACGGATTGACGAGGTTATTCCATGTCTTTATCAATATTAGTTAGCCTCCACTTACCCCAACCCCCTCATTAATGCGTAGATAAATTCATGCGGGGGTGCTCACGGGTAGCAATTCAGTGAATTTTCCATGGTCTTATGCATATTTCTTCCGAATGATTCGGCTAGTTTATTATTTGGCATATTGACATTCGTCGCACTGCCGTTCTTGAAAACCACATTGCGACCAAAAAGTCGCTTATTTGGCTATTTAACGGTTTTCCATTTTGCTCATTGTCATTCATTGCAATCCCATTATGACATAGTCACGTTCGGCCAATGAAACTTTCGACTGATCGGCTGTCGCCACTTTGATTGGCTGTCTAACAATCTGGATCGATTGAGGAGTGCCGGGGTGGCGCATGACTCAGATCCAGAACTTACAGGTCCCGAATGGACCTAGGATCTTGTGATGATTACAGGATCGGAGCCAATCAAGCCGGTCTTTGCACGTCAAGTGTGGCCCTAAAATGGTGATGGCTAAGCGATCAGGACAGCTGAAACGGCCGTATCTTTCTGTACGATCGGTGCGCCCTTGCCAGGGTAATTCGATTAATCACGTTTGGGTGACTAATTTTCAGCCCTGCTGGTGTCAAAGGCTAATGTGCTGTCTGCTCGTTTTCTTATGGCTTGATGGCAGCTGGCGGTTGTAGACGTGGCCCCGTGATAAACATATTGCAATACAAATCATCAATAAATTCAATCATATAACTTTTATTTTTACTTGTGAAAATAACACAATTAACGTTTTGTCGGTTGTCTTGGTCCCGAAATTTGGTTTAGCTGTTTCTTGCCAGCTTTACGTTGATGTCGTTCTGCCACCCCTGTGATACGGCGTACCCCATCTATGCGAGGGTGACGTGAAAGGAGCACTGCAATCTCAAAGTGCAGATCTGCGTGGGGGGGGGGGGGGAGCGTGCAGGCACTGCTGCTCGGGCCCCGTTGCTGGCGCTTTGGATTCAGATCGTATACTGCCTCTCACTACGGCTCAGGAAACCGGTGTCACTGGCTAATCCTGCGACACCGGTTTCCGTCCAGGCTGTGGCAAATCCTGACATCCCCCTTCTCCATGGCTCCACTGACGTCACGATCAAAGCTCCAATGACGTCACCGCTCACAATGACGTCACGCTGACGTCTCGGTGCCCCATTCCAGGGAGCTGGGAGATGCTGGCCTACTTCCACTGGCCCGGTGCTGGTGCTGATGTCTGCTAATGTTGTCTTCTTCGTGCTGACGGCGCGTAACCTGCTGAAGACGGAGAAGGACACCCGGATGGCTGGCAACCAGAAGAAGGGCGCCGAAAGGTGAGGACGCTGTCCGTCTGCCTTAAGCGGCCTGCCTTTCGGATCGGCGGGTGGAAAGGGTGTTGCGACGGGCTCTAGGAGCTAGAGCTGACCCGTAGGCTTAATTTTAAGTGTGAATTTCGAGCCGTGTTTTTTACTTGGGATGCTTTGTTTGTCGATTCGCTTGTCGACACGCCGACACAAAGTCGCAGAAATAAATTGCACCTTGCAGTGCTTCAGCAGCCACGGTTGGTCTGCGGCAGCGTTTAGGCAATCCGTAGTCACGTTCAAAGGGAGCGTGCCACATTTATATGAGGTTTTGAACTGAAATAGCTTGAAGCTCTTGAAGACATTTCGGTGCTGTTCACAATCCTGCCCGTCTTAAGACCTAAGCCCCTCTAGGTTCTGAGCTGCACTCCCGCGAAAATGGGGAAGGTATATCGGGAATAGTCTTTCAAATTCACCGTGTCATTCATGACGTCAAAATAACGTCATTCAAAGCCTACAGCTCCATAAGCCATGCGGTGATCAAGGCCAAGAAAATATAATTTTCGAGGATTTCATATCTGGCGTTCGCGTCCACGGTTTCCAGATATGACGGCCGTCAATTGGCTGTCGATCAGTGTTGTTCAAGGTACGGTGACGTAACGCATTGAAGAGCATATTTACTCGACAGAGAATTGTACCGTCTAAAGCAGTCTTTTCCGCTGAAAATTTTTACCAAAAGTGATAAGGGAGCTTGTTTCATCATATCTGGTGCCTGCTTCAATATTCTCAAACGTGAAATATTTTTGAAGGTATATGCATTACGCACATATGAGATCCCTAATCATCAGCTCGGGTCGGGGTAGTATGACTACAGTGGCTTCGCGCTGACCAACCCTTCAGTCTCTGATGTCGCTCCAAACGCAACCCCCCCCCCCCCCCCCCCGCCCCCTCCAACTACTAGCCGGGTGTCCAGCCCAGTCTGCAGCGCGTTGCTGCCGAGTTCGTTAGCCGTTTTTGGAAGTTACGTCTATGTCTATTCGGCGTTGCTTCTGCCTTCGCGTGCACGAATCACAACCATGATCGCGACGCAAAGCACGCTGCACGGATCGCCGACCACGCGTGGATTGCTCAAGGGGCGCAGCAGAAATTCCCGTGGTGAATACTGAACGCGAACATTAAACCCGGTTTTTTATTCACCGACGCGGCAGGCCTCTCTCTTCTCTGTCAATCTTGCGGCAAGGCTGGCGCGGACGAGGCAGCTGGGTTCACTGTGTGCAGGGAAAGGGATTGGGAGGTCCGTGGCTCAACCTTTGGCCGGAACCCTCACTGCTCTTGTGCAAGCCTCGTAGCGGGCGGCGCTGAGATTGCGGGAGATAGCACCAGACACCTGTGCGGTGGGCACCTCACGGGTAGCGGTGTGGTGCAGCTCGAGCAACGACGTAGAATTCTTGCTAAACTCAGCGTCGTTACTGGGTCAGAAGCGCTGCTGGCATGGCGAAAACAGAACCTTAATCGCACCTGCCGTTAAGTTTCATGAAGCTCTCCTGTTTACATTTGGTAACCTTACCAGATCCTGGTCACACCCGGAACCACGTGATGCTGCCCCAACGCACCTACGCCCCCCCCCCCCCCCCCCGCCACATCTTCCATCCCCAACTACAGTTGGCCTATGGCACGAGGTGAACTGCCAGGCCCCGCTGACAGTGACTGGTAAGTGCAGGCGAGCTTCGTGACTGGCTGCCAGGTTACGCTTGGGATTTCCGCCGCCCGTCAGTCCGCCTCACCGCTGGAGCTGTTGTCATGGTGACCAGCGTCGGCTGCGGAGAGGCAGGCAAGGCGAACCGCCAAAATAGCATCATCAGACCTGTGGCGCTGGGAAATGCCCCGTATTGGTGGCAGGCTCTCAGGCTGTCGAGGTCGGCCAGCTGCAGACCATTGACCCACGCTGCCATCGGGATCAGGCGCTGGGGTTCATCAAAGACACAGGGATGATATCTGCATGAACGCAGGAATTTCGTGACATATGCAGCGCTCGCAGCTCACCTCATGTCAAAACTTTCCCGAGGTCTAGCCTCATTACCGCCGCTGGCGTCCCCCGTCAACATTCACGAGCTTCGGCGAACCGGACTAAGCCGGAGTTCTCCGCCGCAGGTTCAAGATTTACGTCAACCTTTTCATCGTGATGGGCATCACGTGGATTGCAGAAGCGCTCTCCATCCACCTCGGACCCAAGGAGCTCTGGTGAGTTTGGCAGATGCCAGAAACTCTCACCTCGAAAGTTGACGCACAATTTTCCAGGCTTTTTCCAAACGCACCGGAAGTGGTCAATTATGTTATCCCCCGTGAAGTAATGTGTCGCTGTCTCACCGATTTCATCCCCTGGCTGCGCCTTTGTTTGGTGATGCCAAGGCTGCGTCTGCACGTTGTGCTAGCCTACTAGTGCCAGTTTTGCACTATTTGCATCACGTTATGTACTATATTTGCGACAATGGTGGACGTGAGTCATCTCAGAGAAAACGAAAACAAGAACCGATCAAAAGAATAGCCAATCCAAGCGAACGACTCGTTGGAAAATGCAGAAGGTCCCTTCGCACTGATAAGCCGTCCAACACAGACAAACCCCCGGAAATGTTCCAAGCTTTGGCGGTTCGATGGATCCTCTTTATTGTCGCTCGTGAGTTAAATAACTCTCCATTTCTCCAGCTGGCTTATCGCATGGGCCTCGCTAATGCTATGCCGGTCTGCTGTGTAACCCGGCCTACGGACCATCAAAACACTCATCCGGAAGATCACATCACATGGGGTTCGCGAGCCGTATGATTCAGATGGTATCAAAATAGCGGAGAAAGATAATGACAGCATATGCACGAGCAATTCACTGGAAGGATTTGGCAGCGGATTGCGTGCACGCCCACCATGCATGTTCTCTAAGCTCTATCGTAAGTGCGGTCGGAAATCACCACGTTTCGCGGTCGCCTCAATTTTTCGACAACAATGCGTCACACAAAGGATGCACTCGACGTCGATAACTTCTGCGCTATGGATGTCCGAGTGAGCAATGTATGCAGGAACGCACAGTCAAAGTCGCAAGCACCTGGCGACAGCGCCACGCCTAGGAAAGTCGCACAGGTAGCTAGATAAGCTGCCAAAATGGATGGAGTGGGCACTTAATGTGCTTGAGCTCGATAAGCTGTCACCAGACACAATTTTCTGAATTTCGCTGTGGCCCTCTTCCATTCCGTCCGCGCACGCACATTTCATTCGTTGGGATCTCCAGGGGATTTTCCAGCAAATTGATCGCAGCTGCCTAAGCGCTCCAATGCTCGCCCATTGATAGCAGACAAACCGCCGCTTTCTTTCGTGAGGCTCAGTCTTAAACTTACTAGGAAATAGCGGGATGGTCGAGTGGGTGGAAACCCCAGAAAAATACGGCTCGACGTCCAACAGCCGTCGGTGCTGCTTTCCGAACAAATTGTGGGTGCCCAAATGCATGCTAATTTTCGAATCCTTGTGATTTTCTAAGTCCCGTTGACGCGAAAGTTGATCTGCCGATCCAATAATTTTGTTCGTTTATGGTTTCGTGATCTTTCCGCTAGTGAAAGCTTCGCGCCCCGTGAGCGTTGTGAAGTGTTATCAGTGACAATACTAAGCGTCATCGCGTTATGTACAAGTACCTGCAGACACCAACGCAATCCACACGCTTCAGTTCCGTGGTTGCGGAGGCGCGCAGGTCAAGTGTGGAAGGTATGAGCGCACAGGTGATGCGTGGTTCACAAACCGGGGGTGCGCGCAGGCCGTGCCGCGCGTGCAAGCATCTATCATAATTGGAGAACCCGTGACGACTTGCGCCAACCTACTGCACTGAGGACATATGTCTCCGTGTCCAGCCTCCGTGTCCAGCCTCAGTGCTCAGTCTAAATGTTCAGCCTCCGCATCCAGCCTCAGTGTCCAGTCTGTGTTCAGTCTCAGTGTCCAGCCTCAGTGTTCAGCCTCAGTGTCCAGCCTCAGTGATCAGTGTCAGTGTTCAGCCTCAGCGTCCAGCCTCAGTGTCCAGCCTCAGTGGTCAGCCTGAGTGTCCAGCCTCAGTGCTCAGCCTCAGTGTCGTGTCCAGCCTCAGTGTCCAGCCTCAGTGTCCAGCCTCAGTGTTCAGCCTCAGTGTCCAGCCTCAGTGTCCAGCCTCAGTGTTCAGCCTCAGTGTCCAGCCTCAGTGCTCAGCCTCAGTGTCCAGCCTCAGTGTCCAGCCCCAGTGCCCAGCCTCAGTGTCCAACCTCCTTGTTCAGCCTCGGTATTCAGCCTCCCAGTTACTTCATACGTGGTCTCATGTGACATTGAGTGTCAAATGCTCTTCAATCCACCTGACCTCGTCGCTTGTCTAAATCGAGCGCAGACCCAGCCCGTATCATGTGATGTCGTTTGATTCAATCGAATCCAGTCGACGCAGTGGAATGGACTGAACACCGCGGTGTTGAGTAGCCGGCCATAAGTCATAGCCCACGACGTGCTCCGATCACAGAAGCGCTGCCTGATGTCAGGAAGGCTCCTGGACTGATATCACACCCATCCTGACAGCGTCCCGTGAAGCGCTGCCTGATGTCAGGAAGGCTCCTTGGTTGACATCACACCCATCCTGACAGCGTCCCGTGAAGCGCTGCCTGATGTCAGGAAGGCTCCTTGGTTGACATCACACCCATCCTGACAGCGTCCCGTGAAGCGCTGCCTGATGTCAGGAAGGCTCCTTGGTTGACATCACACCCATCCTGACAGCGTCCCGTGAAGCGCTGCCTGATGTCAGGAAGGCTCATTGGTTGACATCACACCCATCCTGACAGCGTCCTGTGAAGCGCTGCCTGATGTCAGGAAGGCTCCTGGACTGACATCACACCCATCCTGACAGCGTCCCGTGTGCCAAGTTTGCT